GCTTAACCTACCTCACAGGGTGGTTGTAAGGATAAAATGGAGAAGGATCATGTAAGCTGCTTTGGCTTCCTTGCAAGAGGGAAAAAAAGTGGGATATAAATATACTAATAGCAGAAGTAGCAATACAATGGCAAGATCAATCTTCAGTACAGAGGGAGTTATCAAACTAAACATGTAGAGCGCTGAAGACCTGAAAAACTCCAAATGTCAATATCTATTCAGAATCCCTTTACAGGCTCCTAAAAAGCCTAGAATATCTTTTTAAAAAGTCATAGCTTGCTGCTAAAGAGAATAAACAGTAGGTGCCAGGAGATGCTCTCTGAGTATTCAAAAACTTGGGTGTGACTTGAGAAAAGCCTTCCCTTTATAGACATCAACCAGATCTTTCTTGATCTCACTTGGAGAAGAGCTTCCAATGATGACCTCAAGATATGAGTAGGAACCCAGCGAGACGAAGAACATGTAAGATTCACCAGGTGGACACCAGTACTTTGATTTAAGCTCAGAAATACCATTTTACAGCAGGGCTACAGAAACTGAGTTCCAGGGCCAGCTCCAGCCCCCCTGAGGCCTCCCGAGCAGCCATACCTTCTCCTCTTGGCTGTACCCTCTCTGTTGATGTTCTCAGGTTTTTAGGTCCCATTCATTAGCCCAAGCTTCAACTGCTCCCCAACAACGGGTCACTCGGAGATTTCCTGGCTCTTGCGCAGTGTTTGCTCCCATGCTGAGAGGCTAAAAAGCCTTTCCTAAGGCTTAGAAAGAGCTTTCTCCTTTAAAAAAAAAAAATCTGTATTTTTGGACCTGTCCATATTCCCTTTGGCCCCATCCAGCAATAGAATGTGGACCCCAAGAAAGACTGTGAAATGGAACCCGCCCTTTGGGCTGAAAAAAGTTTGGCACTCCCTCTTGTCTCCACAGGACCAATAAGCTCATGAGATTTTGGCAGCCGAGAGTCACTTAGTGGGGCTTTTCAGAGTAAAGAAATGCCTGACAGCAAAAGGGTTAGACACCAGTCCTTCTTGGCTTCTCTGCTCTCAAAATGCACTTCCCCCTCTCAGATCGTTTCCTGATAAAAGCCTGCCCCCTCTGTTACTGTAAATGGCCACGTGGCAGCTTGTGACAAGGGAAAAAACTGCAATAATTCCATTCTAACTAAGAACAGGAAAAAATCTAGCAATAAAAAAATTAAAAGATCGAAAAAAACCTCCTTTTTTGGCTTGGGCTTCAGTGCTAAACACATTAACCATCTGTCAGCTGCCAAAACAAATAAGCTGAGCACTACCACTAACAGAAGTATAATGCCAAAACAAAACTTAAATAACATTCCTGAGGACTTGAAAATTCACATCTAGAAGAGGTTTGCATTACTGAACACAACTGACAGAGAATCAAAGGAACCGTGGACTGGACTAGAAACATGATTTGGGGAAGAAGCGAAAATAAATTCCTCCTGTAGCAAAAAGGAAGAAAAAGTCTAGATGTGTGACAGAAGGAACTCTTATAACTCTTATAATTGTGAAGGGTAGAGGATAGCAAAAGCAAAAGGTGATAGAAATAGTGCTGGAATCCTGGATGCAAGTTTTCAGCAGAGAGACAAGAGAGAGACAAGGGGAACCGTTACAATACCTGCAGAAAGAGCAATGAATTGAAATGACTCCTTATGAAAGGGAAAGAAGAAAGTGCTACAGCTGCACATTATGAAAACAAAAATCATAACTACAGAAGAATTGTACAACATGAACGTCAACAATGCAGAAATCGAAATTGTGAAAGATTTTGCATCGCATGGCTCAGACATTGAAATGGAGACTCCAATCGAGAAATACAAAGACGGCTTCGATTTGGGATGGCAGCAATGAAGGGATTAAAAAAGAACTTTAAAAAATTAATTCCAATGAAGCAATTAAAAAAGATCAGCTGTAAGGGCATTTTACTGGAAGCCAAGGCTAAGATCATCCACACTGCTGTGTTTGTGATCACTATGCCTGGGTGTGAAAGCTGGACAGTGAAGAAGGCTGACAGGAAGAGAACGGATGTGTTCCAAATCTGGTGCTGGAGGAAAGCTTTGTGAATACCTTCAACCAACAGAAAGACAAACAAGAGGGGCCATAGAGCAAATCAAGCCAGAACTTTCCTCGGAAGCAAAAATGACAAAGCAGAAACTTTCATACAAGAGAGGGCAAGACTTCCTGGAGAAGACGATCATGCTAGGGAAGACCAACCATGAGGTGCATTCACAAGTGCTGAGCAGGGCTGTCAAGGATAGGACATTATGGAGGAATCGCCGTTAAGTGGGACATGACTTGACAGCACAAAATCATAAAAACAACCAGCTTAGGGGTTCTGCTCTTATTTATTTTATTTCCGATTTATATCCTGCCTTTTTCCTACAAAGGGCTCAAGGCAGCTTACATCATTCTCCTCCTCCATCTTACCCCCACAACAACAACCCTGTGAGGTGGGTTGGGCTGAGAGTCTGTGACTGGCCCAGAGTCACCCAGTTGGCTCCATGGCTGAGCGGAGACTAGAACCCAGATCGTCTGAGTCCCAGTCCCAGGCTCTTACCCACTACACCACACTGGCTCAGTACAACTGGCTCAAACACCACACCGGCTCACTACATCACACTGGCTACGTACGAAAACTCTTACGTTGTTTTCCATGATACACAGAAATGCAGAACCTCAAATGTGGCCCTGCTGGAGTTCTGGCGTGGCTTCCCGGTAGCCAAGATGGTCCCACGCTGCCCCCCAGTCACTCAGCATTTGGTAGCTTCATGCTTTTTGTGTAATGTTTCCCCCATTCTAAAATGCCCCCCTAAAATTGTGGTACCAGCAGTAAAAGCTTTCAGCAGATGTACGCTGATATTTTGACTTGACCCCTTTTGCCCCCGCCTCCTCCAATAGAATGCAGCCCCTGAAGCTTGCTCCTTTGGGCAGCAAGAGGTTCCTCGCCCCAAATTTTAACTTGCACCGTTCCCATGAACTGGCATGAATTGCATCTCAGGAAACATGAAAAGCACCAGACCACAGGATGGGCAACTGAAAAACTGCAGCATTTCACTTGTAGGTCTAGTTCCTATTTTAACACTTAGGTCTCCAGATGAAACAGTACGAAATATTTTAATATTCCTGGAAAAATGTTTTACATAACTGTTGCAGAATGTGCCATTTTTATTGGCTTTGCTGTTGCTATGACTCAAGCAGTGAGACAAATAGTTTAGGTACTTTTTGTGTCAAGGTTGGCAGGCGATTGTTCTGTGGGGCTCACCAGATTTCTGCTTGACTGATAATTGCTTGACACCAGATTTCTGCTTGACTGTGTTAAAGGCACAGGAGCTCCACCATGGGGGGAAAAAAGACTTGGCAACCTGACCGACAGCACAATCGTGGCAGCAAAGGGCCTTCGCGCCTCATCTATATTCAGGCGGATCTGCCACAATGGCCTTGGAGCTTTTCGCACTAGCAGTAAGTTGAGTTTCTTTTGCAGAAACGGGCAACCAAGATGATCAGAAAGCTGGAACAACTCCTATGCAAGGAAAAGTTACGAGAATTGGGGCTTTGCTGACTGTAGAAAAGGGGAGGCTGCTGCTGCAGTCCAGCTTATGGGTCCCACATGCATCTAGCCAACCTTTCTTGTGGACAGGGTGCTGGCTTGGGAATTGGTGTCCTCTTTTGCTCTGTGCCTGAGCCTTCACCCTTTCCCTTGTGCGGACAAAGCAGGTAAGGGAAGGGTCCCCCTTTCCTTCTCCCACTCAAAAAGACCCATGAAGCTGCGCATGCATGGAGGATGAGGAGGATCGCAAGAGGTTATCAGTGCCCCCAAGACCCATGCTGCTGCTGATCGCATTTTATCTGTCTGTCGTCTGTCGCCCGCTTTGCATGCCGCCCACAGCCATGCAGATGGCACCCGTATCTCCCCCCTTCGAGGAAGGCAAGGCGGTCCCAGGAGGGCAGGCACGGTCCCGGCGCTGGAGCCGCAACCCCATCACTCGCTGCCGCGGTCTTCCCATATATGGCCCTCCCGGCTGCCTGGACGGGCGGCGCAGCGACCCATTCCCTTCTCAAAGACGTCGGGAAGCCCCGCCCCCTCTCCCGAAGGACGGCCGCGCCCACACCAAACATGGCGCCTCACGAGGCGCCCCGCTCGCGACCCGGGCGGCGGCGCGCCGGCGCCCCATGGTGACGTCAACGTTGCATAGCGATGAGGCATGAGCGCTTCCGGGGTGTGGGGGGGAGGTTTCCCCGGTGGTTGTTGTCTCGGCTCCGGTCGGGCCCGGAGCGATGGGAAGCGGTAGTGGCGGCCGCCCGCGCCCGTCCCCCCGCCGCTGTCGCTGCCGCTGCCGCCACTGCTGCCGCGCGGCCAGCGCCGCGCCGCTGTAATGGCGGCCTTCCCCGCCGGGCCCCCTGCCGCCGCCGCCGCCTCGTCGGCGCCGTGGCCGGAGGGTCGCAGTGGAGGCGGGGCCCAGCCGCTGCTGGACGAGTTCACCGCGCCGGCGGAGAAGAGCGCCCTGCTGGAGCGGAGCCGCGCCGGCATCGAGCGCCTCTTCGGGGTGCACCTGGCCATCCTGGGGGCGCTGAGCGGCGGCGGCGGCGGCTGGGTTCCTCGCGGGCTTGAGCCGCCGCCGCAGGCAGCCGGGTGCAGGATCTGGCTGAGCCTCCTGGGCGAGCGGGAGCAAGTGCGGAGCGCCAAAGTAAGCGGGCGAGGAGCCCTCCGTTTCCTCGGGCTGTGGAGGGCATTGCCGGGGGTTGGAGCAGCGGAGAGCCTGGTGACACTGGCTTGAAGGGGTCCCGGGAGCCTTTGTGATGCATCGCTTGCCTTCGGAAGGCTTCATGTCCGCTTGGGTCTGTACTGAAGACTTTCTAGCAAAGCGGCCGTGGGCAGATGCTTGGACCGGCGGTGGTTCCTTAAGACTAAGCGGGTTTGTGGTGTCTACGGTGCACGAAGACTCTTTGCGGTGTCTCTTACGCCTCCGTGTATGTGTGTGATACACATTTCGGCATAAGTCTTTGGGGACAGAAGAACAGTCTGCAGATGCTTATGCTAGAATAATGTTTAATCTTTAAAGTGTCTTAAGATGCTTTGTAATGTGCGGTGAGACTAATGTATACTTTCTAGCAAAGGCTTCCCTGGACAGATGGATTGGGTGGGCTATAGTCCACAAACTATATCATTATTTATGTAGAATAATTATTTCAGGTCCCACAAGACTCTCTGCTGCAGTAGACTAACATGGCTGCCCTGCTCGAAATTAATATTGTGTGTGTGTATAGATAAAGCTGTATTTACCAATCTATATATAGAAAGAGAAAGCAAAAGCTGTGTTCTTGCAGAAAAAGCTAGCAGGGAGAGGGCATCAACTTTTTGCTTTCCAGATGATGGACTGCACCTTGTATCATCCATCGCAATTGGCTGTGCTGGCTAGGGCTGGTGGAAGGTGAAGTCCAATTTAGTTTATTCTTTGTTTATTACAATTCTTCTGTCCCCAGTATCCGAAATTCTCTGGGCAGTTCATACATATGTACAGAGCATGTGTGTGATAATATAAATAGTATTATTTATATCGTAACAGTAGCAAAACAGCAGGGCAAGCAAGGGGTTTCTGGATACCAAATGATAATGTGCAAACAAACCAGTCTCTTATGTAGATATTCACTTAGTGCACTGGTAGTGCCCGCATACACACGGATATTTAACAGTGTGCACAATAATATACAGTGCATGTAGCCATTTCTTGACTTGAGCCCTTGAGGATAGGATGAGCTAAAATACCTTTCTTTCTTGTTCTTATATGCACACAAGCTTTTATTAAATTTTAAAATGATTGCATGAAATGGGAGGCAACTTATTCAGATCCCAAATTCTGCTAAGTATAACTACAAAAAATAAAATTGTTGAATGTCTACCATAGAAACCTACAATATACTCCACAGTCTTTATCATTTTTACATCTGGGACCCAGTATTAAGCCCTATCTTTAGCAAGAGATTCACTTTTAATTCTTGTTTATAAGTCATATGTCAGTGATTTATTTTTACCTCCCCCCATCCTTTAAAAAAAAAAAAAAGACAGAAAACTAGGATCAGACAGCAGCACTACCTGTCCTTTAGATCTGACCGTATTAGAATGGAACCCCTTCTGGTATCATCGCAATCCAGTTGAAGACAGACAACATACAATAAACTTCATAAAAGAAAGAATGAGGAAACAAGAGGTAAATAATGTAGGCATATTAAGGTTACCAAATGGAGTGATTATAGGGCCCAAACAGATGAGACAGAATGTTTTAATACCAACATTAGAGCATTGTCGGTGGGGAAGCACAGCATCCCCTGCTGTTACTAGGGTCTTTATTAGCATGACCTACTAATTAAGATTTCACTGTTGTCTGGAGCCAGGCTAGCTGTGGTGAGCTTACTTTAGTGGGGCGTGGGCTGAGCCTTCTCTAATGGGGTCTTAGGAAATCAATAAGTTGGTTCTTTGTGGCAGCATTTGAAGAGTTACAGTTGGTCTCAGTCAGGCCCATAATCTTCCAGGCATATGTCAGTACTAGGAAGAAGGCAGCAGTTAATCAGCTAGAGTTTCAAAATGTTTTGATATGTTAGTATCTCTCCTTAATATAAATATTTGTACCACCCCTAGCCAAAGCTCTTTCAGTGGTTCACAAGATTAAGTCACTCATCCAGATTTCAACCATGCCTGACCCTGCTTAACTTCCAAAAATAGGCAGGGCCAGGCACTTTGTGCTGTGTGGAAGCTAATTAGTGTATGCAAGGAGGAGAAGGAAGAGTCTTCTTTAAAATGCAGTGCAATAGAAGCCTGAGTTGATGGCTGGCCGATGAGTACTCAAAGCGACACTGGCAGAAAAATGAACAAGAGAGGCGAGCAGATGGAGGCGGAGACGCTGAGGACTTGGTCCATGCCTGTCTTAAGCAGCTCTGCGCACTATCACTCCCGTTTCCACAACGCGCTTGGCCGCCCTAGACTCTGGAATGGGCTTCCAAGGGGATGGGACAAGCTAGCTGTAAATCCTTGTGAGCAACTGCCAGCCCAAAGAGAGAAAGTGGGTGGGGAGCAAACGAGGCAGCCGAGACTTTGGTGCTGGTGCTGGCCGGGTAGGCCGGTGCCACGAGTACACGCCTCTGTTTTGTTTGGATATGGTGTGTCTTTCACTTCGTGATATTTCCCCCTATTTCTCTCAGTGTGTAATACCACCACCAGAAATGTAATTCCAATCTTGTTAATTAAGCTCTCCCTCAATACTGTGTCCAAGCTGTAAGACTCCTTCATTGGACTGTGTGGGCCTACGGATGAGACACTGGTATTTAAGCAGCCTTTGAGTTAACAATAAATGAAGTAAAACTTTTTTTGTACAATAAGTGTATTGGTTTCAAGATGTTGAGTAATTTATATTCCTAGAGAATAGAACAGTGTATAATAACTTCTGACCAACTCACTCTTTCCCTTCACAAACACAGATCCTTTCTCTCCTGAATGTACTTTGATGAGTCCTTATTTCGTTTATCTCAATTTAATCTTTCTTTTCTATACTCAAGTTTCTGTAAACTTCTATCTCTCACAACCTTATAATACTTTGCAATGCTAGGTTTTGACTCTCCCTAGCCACTAATATGTCCTCTAAGTATCCTACCTCCTTCCCTTTTCTTTAGTCCCTTTCACAGCACTCGGAGAAGGCAGCCTCTTCAGAAACTGCACGGAACGCAACTCCGATACTTTACTGCTGATCAACTGATAGCTTTTATCTCCTCACACAGTTCCAAACTCCACCACAAACTCTCATCCAGCAACCAATCAGCTCACCCATCCCCTTCATTTACCTATACTGCTTTTCTGAAACTTACCAACTTTTAAAGGAAAACACGCAGCACTTTAAATCATTGCATCCTAATGTTGAAAGTGAGGGTCATTGTCACCTATTTCACTGAATTGGTTTTTTCTGTGGCATAGGACAGTCTTTTTTGAACCAGTGCTGCTGCTTGCATAAGATTTCCCTTATATGCAACTGTGCCAACACGCAGGGAAACTGCCTGTTTGCATTATTGATATGCATTCATGACCCCTCTGTCCTAATAGCAGTGTTACAGAGAAGGCGCTCCCTGCTGTACATCATGGCAAGCTTGACCAGGCAGATAAACTGTTTTTTTCCTGTGCAAATCCACTAGTTTTGAAGACAACCTAATGAGAGAGTGGACCTCAGATTCCCGGCAATATAGGAAGTGCATAAAATATAACGTGCATCCTCGTTCTTGTCCACCCTGCAGAGGAACCATTGCTTGTTGCCTTGTAACTGGGATTTAACAATGTTCGGGCACTTGGTTTGCTTGTGAGCCTAAGCATTTGGACTCAAAGTACTGTAGAAATAGCTCCATGACCCCAGAGATTTGGAACTAATGTATTCCAAAGAGCAACTCCTTCCCCACCGCACACTGAACCACTTGAAACAGGAGGGGAAATAGAAAAAGTGGCTCATGGCATAGTGTGGTGTTTGTGTAGTGCCAGTTCAAAGAAAAGCCATTCCTCTTGGGTGCTGCTAAAGTAGTTCTTTGAACCCTGGCCTGATGCTGCTGCCAGAAGTTAGAACTTTTGATCATCGTGCCTGGCTTCTAAAATGACAGTGTTTCTTGCAGTTTGGACGTATTTTCCAGCCCCAGAGAAATGTTGGAACTGTGCTGCCAACCTCTAAGTTAAGCATATTTTAATATAAACTGCTTGGTATGACTTAGAATGTGGGAAATGGAAAATAGTAAAGGTGATCAGCCCACAAAGTAATGTCATGGCTAGACCACAACTATGATTTAAACAGGATATATTTATAGTCACATGCAGCTGCCCTCGGGAACCCTCTTGTGTGCTACTTGCTCTTTGATTTACTGTGTAGTACTCATGTGTCTGAGAGGTTTCTGCAGTTTTTGCAAACCTAGCAAGTTTGAACTCAGAGTATTCTAGACATCTCATACATTCCATGGAGGCAAACGCAGCTGGGCCTCCACATGTTCATTATATGAGGAGCTACAGTCAGTAATAGCGTCCTAGCAAAGATACCTGGATAGTTGCAAGCACGTGTTTGTCATGCATTAAAGCACATGATTATGCTTTATATGTTTAGGTGTCCTTCTAAAAACATCACATTTGAAAGAGACTGCAAACTTTTCTTTAAGGTTCCCACTCAGAAGGAGTTTTGCGCAGGCATAGATCATTCCTGTGGTAATGCAGAAAATTCTCAAGCATTGGTTTTAAATAGTTCCAGCCTGCCTTTCGTCTTTCAACTCTCAAGGCAGCTTATAACAACAATAAAAATATAAAATACTCATTGGTAATATTTAAAAGCTAAAATCCAACATTAAAAAGAGTAACAGCAGAAGTGACAAAACAGTTCATTGAATATATTGGCTATTTATTGATAGCATTTAAATGCCACCCAAAATAACACAAGGTCTCTAGGCAATATATAATATGAGTTAAAAGTTAAATCCAGAATTAAGATTATAAAACTACAAAAGCCAATACTTTATAAAACTGCTGGCAGCTGATGAAATCAATGCAGCAAAAGGCCAAGCAACAACAAAAAGCAGCCCAGATATTAAAGTTCCCTCTCTCAAAATATCCAAAGATCTCTAAAAGGAGCAATCCTATGCAAGTTTAAGCAAGAAAAAAAATTAGGTGGGGGGAAATCTGGTAGTTGTACAACTATGTTCTGTCTAAACATGCATGCACAATAGGGCACCCTTAAAAGGCTGTAAGGTTGAATAGACCAGGGGCCAGGGAGCTCTTCCCCTGGCACCCAAAAGACCACAGCATAGCTTCCCAGGCAGCCCCTTGGCTGGGGGGTCTGTACCAGGGGGTGTCACTGATGAAATGCCCTCCCTGTAGTAAGAGCGTTCTGTTACTTCTGATCACCATTACCCTGTTCTGCAGCCAGCCAGACGCCCAGAGTAGCAAATGGAAAATAAAGAATACAAAAGTGTTTAAAAAGAGCTTTTTATCTTTATATAGGCCACTTAAGGTGGTGCCAGTAATGAGAGTTTTGATGTCATCTTGTTGGCCTCTCTTTCTTCTCTTGTTTTAGTTGGCTGTATGGTCTCCACAAAGAGAGGAGGAGTCCAGTCACAGCAGGTGGAGAGGATGATAATGGCAGCCTAGCTCACTGGACCCCATTTCTCTTGGTCGCATGGCACTTAGGGGGCACAGAAGTAGGCACAATCTTACAGTTACAGGAGGGTAGTCCATAAAACGGGGCCACTGCGAAAACCTTCCTGTCTGATACCGGGAGGCAGAGGCATCCAAAGCCTTTTAAGAAGCTCTGACAGGCTCATATGGAAGGAACCGTCTTTCCAAACCTTAGCCAAAGACTTTATAGGTAAATGGCATTGGTACACTTGGCATTGGTCCCAAAAATACATTAGAATACAGAGAGTGCTCTTTGAATAACAACTCATATGGTGGTGAGTTTGGTATGTGCTGATTAACAACAAACCCACGGTCTTCTGAATCCATTAAACTTTTGAATGGTCTTCATTGGCAGTCTCTCCTGTAAAGTGCTGCCCTCATTTGATCTTATGGCAAAACAGGACACAGTATTGCTATAGCTGACATGCAGAAACATGTATTAGTTAGAAATTTATTTGACTATTGAGCAATTGCCCAATTGTGGCTTTTGCTAGGAAATCTTCCATGTTATTTTTCAGGGTAAAACCAGAATGTTGCAATTGGAATTGCTTCAGTTGTTCATGAGAAAAAACTATTTTTCTCAAGGTTCAAGCATTGTGGTGGGGATATCAGTATGAAAGGGATAACACGCTTTCAGACAAGCAGGAATACAATATTTTTTTCTTTGGTATCCATGTTTTGGTAGATACGTGTCTGTAGATCTCCATATCTTGCTTCTGCAATCCATCATTTGCTCCCATTATCTGCAGTACCCTCAATTATATTGAAATGGCACAAAGCAAACATATTGGCCCTAAGGCCAAACTTTTGATAGCTAAGGCAAGCTTTTTTAATGAAAATTCATGACACCCTTCAGTGCTACCCGTGGGACTGGTTTAATCTTGGTGTGGAAAGGAGTAAGAATTAGACTTCTGAAAACACCCCAGCACTTGGCATAGGGCAGTATCCAACGTGTTTATGCTGAGTGGAAGTATGTCCAAAGCTACATTGCATCCCAAGAGGCCATGGCTCTCCATTGGTATTGGTGGTAAGATCCAGTGAAGACACCGCAGAGTTGCCTGGCTTGGCAGAAACCAGCCAAAAAGAGACAATATGAAAGCCCTAGAGCATCCAGGAACTCGGTGGGTGGTCCCAAGATACAGGATCTACCTCACTGCCGTATACCTGAAGGAAGCATTCTGTAGTACTTGGAAGTTTACAGTCCAGCACTCTCCAAGAGCAAGGCCGGATTGGATCTAGCCCCAGGACCACATGCTTGGGACAACGTCAAACAAACTGGGAATGGCATTGTTGGCAACATGCCATTGGGCTGCTTTCGGGGCTGAAAGGAGATGTGTGTTCACCCGTGTGTCCCGGACTATTTATTTATAGCTTTTCTAGCCCAGCCACCACTAGCATCTCGGGACGGCTTACAGTGGAAAAACAAATAAAATAAAACAGTGCAGCATCAACAACTTAAAATAATAAAACCCCAGTTAAAATCAACTAAACGTTAAAACGATGGGAAAACAAAAGGGGTTTCACCAGACACTGAAAAGATTATAGTGTTGGCACCAGGCAGACCTCTCTGGGGAGCGTCTTCCATGGTTGGGGCACCACTGCGGAGAAGGCCCTCCTCTGGGTAGCCTCCCTCCTAACCTCCTTGTGGGAGGGCTTGTTAGTTTTCTGTGTGCAGGTAATTCTGTTGCAGGGGTGTGAAGAAAGTAGATGCCCAGTGCTTTGTGCTTCCATCATTCCTGGCCGTTGGCCGTGTTGGCAGTGGCTTCAGGAGCTGACGTCTAAAACATCTGCAGTCTGCCTGCTGCCGAGTCCTGGTATATGTGGCAGGTTGTGTGCAGTGAAGACGGCTCAGTTCCTGAATGGAAAAGCCCTTGGTAAAGCACCTTGCTCATTTCTTAGGAAGCTGAGGTTCTACTGTAATATAAAAGAGGAAGAGTTTTTCTCTTCCTATCATTATTATTGTTAATTTTCTTTAACAAAGCCTTCTGAGTCATACCTTAAGAAGAAAAGCAGGCAACCAAATTTTTTTTTTTTTGGTTTCCAGCAGCTCTTACAAGCCCCCATAAGCTTATTCAGCATTTCTTAATTGCAGTTCATAGCTCAGGTTCTGTGACGTATTCTTGTTGATTTCAGAGTGAGTGTTGTATCGGGGACAATTTTTGGGGTTGAGGGAGACTTGGTGTCAACACCTCTCTCTGCTGTAACTCCCCTCACTGGTCATCTGACTAGGTCGGACCATCACCTATCTGGCCACAGGGATGTTCTGAAGATGGGGGTGCAGAAGACCTGGCTGGCGCCTCGTGTAAACAGATTGTGCAGGATGTGTAAAACTGATTTTAAAAATAAGTAGAATCAGTTTTTTAAAATAGTACATTGGAATGCATTCTTTTTTAATTTCATAAATCCCAAGATTCTCTCTAACTTGAAAATAATACAGTTAAAATTTAATTCCATAATAAAATAAGCTAATCCTACACCCACAGCATCATAAAATTAAGCTACCAAGCAGTCATTAAGTTCAGTTTTTCATCTCATTAAAATGGCTCTTCCAGCTCTTACATCTTGAACCTTCTTAGTTTTCAGCTTCTTTTATTGAAGTCGCATGTGCAAAGACACCAGCTCGATAAGGCTTGTTTTGTGCTTACGAGATGGTGGCGTTGGGGCAAGCAAGGCAAAGGAGTTAAGATAGAAAGACAAAATAGCAAGTGGATAAATATCAGTGCTTAAAACGACTAAAACTGAATTATAATTGTGATAATTTAAGATCAGTAACTTTGCTTAGTGGTCCAATCAGTCACAGTCATTTTTGTTTGCTGTTTTGATTTTTTGAGACAAGGCATGGCCAAAGCATGGTGGAGCAGAAGAGAGCAGCAGTGGAAAAGAAAAGAGAAGTCAAAATCGCTTGCAAGGCCAACATGGTAGTTGCCAGCGCCCTCCTTTCTGTGCAAGGCCTGACTCCCACCAGTCTTTCACAACTGCAAGGCTGGCTGATGGGGAGAATGGGTGGTGGGGCACTGTAAGAGCTTTAGGTAGCACTGTGCAACCCCCCCCCCACCCCCTTTAAGCACTTCGGCACACTGATGTTAGAGGGTAAGGAAACGGTGGTGGTATCACATGTATGGGTGCTGGTGATCGTGGTGTATAGGGTGACCTTCAAACCCCTTCTGATGCTGTGATCATAGTGATGGATTTGCCTTTGGTATTGTGCCCTGAAAGGGTGGAGGAAGCGGGTTGTGTTGTATCTAGATGTCTCAGCAGTAAAGTGCCATTTGTCCTGATTTTTCTTTTCTTTTTTCAGGAATACATTAAAGGACTTTGTGAACCTGAATTGGAAGAGAGGGAGCACTACCCCAAAGACATGCACTGTATTTTCGTAGGCGCCCAGCGCCTCTTCTTGAACTGTCTCATTCAGGGGACTTCTGCTGATATTACCATTTTGGAGATCGGAACACTGAATATTAAGGGAGGTGCTGAACCTGTTGTTATGGCCAGAAGCCACATTCAGCAGTTTGTGAGTCTCTTCAAAAACAACACAAGTCTGTTGAATGGCAAAGAGTCAGATGTGAAGAAGCAATTCAAACAGCTTGTTGAAGCCCATGCAGATAAATATACTATGGACTTGTTGATTTTACCAAGCTCACTGAAGAAAGAACTACTCAACCTCGCACAGAAGGAGAGCTGTAGGGCAGAAGGTAAAGTCATAGATCTTACCCATTCTGATGGGATTTCAGAGGTTTTCCCAAACGACGTCAAGCAATCTATGATAAGCAGTGATGGCAAAATAGGTCTGGAGGAAGCAAGAAACAATGCAGGTACCCCAGTCACGGAGCTAACAAAGCAAATGGACACCATCTTCACTGATACTCCAGACAGGCACTTTTTACCTATAAATGGTCTGAGTTCTCTAGAGACATCTGTGTGTAAGGAGAGGCAGTCATGCAAGAGAAGGTCCTCAGATGCTGAGGAGAGACTTCCAAAGAAGCAGTTTTCTTTGGAAAACAATCAGGACAGCAGACAGACTGCCTGCAGCGCTTCTGGTGGTGTTGTGACGATCGATCTGGTCAACAGCGCAAGCAGCGAGTTAGAGAGTGTGGGTATGTGCACTAAAGAAGCTGATGAGATAAGTGAGGAAATGGAATACAAGATCTTGGTGAACTTTTTCAAGAGCATGGGCTATTCACAACAAATTGTAGAAAAGGTGATTGGAGATCTTGGGCAGTCAGCTGAACCACTTTTGCTTCTGGAAGAAATTGAAAAAGAGAGCAAGAGTGACCCCAAGGAGAAAGATGAGGTTGCTGTCATTTCACAGAATGTAGGGGCATGGGTAGAGAAGGACCTTTCTGGCAACAAAGGGCACAAAGATCTGGGTCACAAGCCAGTGGCACCCCAAAATGGAAAACGAAACCTGGTCTCTGTTCTTCAAGTACAGCACAAGGTTGAAGGCAAGTTGCACATATCAAACTGTGAAAACCGAGCTGCTCCTTCAGGCAGCAAAAATCCGCCGTACAAAGACTGCAGCAAAGTACACACACACAAGTATTCTGAAGACTCTTGTATTTCTCAGACAAGTGACACAGAAAGCGATGGTCCTGTGAACGCGTGTGACCGTGCATGGAGGGTAACAAACGACAGAAAACACAAAGAAGTCAACTTCGTAGCACGGGGTGGCGCAGAGGCTTCACGCCCACCAGTCCAGAAGGAAACGGCGCTTCTTCCAGCATGTGCCAAGTCATCCACGAAGCACGATCAACTGGGGCATTGCAACCCTTTGCAGCTCGGAAGCAGACCGCTCCCTTCCCAAAAATCAAATCAGCTCCCCGAGACTGTACTTCCTGCACAGTTCACAGTTCCTTGTTCAGAAAGGAGAATGGGGGGCCTGCAGGGACATCATGCAGACCCTTCCGTCACTGGGGTGCAGAGGTTTCTAGAGTCTTTGAAAACTCCATACAAGCTGGAATTGAAAAATGAACCAGGCCGAGCACACTTGAAGTACATAGTGATAGACGGCAGCAATGTTGCAATCGCGTGAGTATGGGCACCGTTTAGATTTCTAGAACATTTCGGAATGAAACCGGACTGTGGGAGGGTGGGGAATTTACCAAAAGCCTGCGCACAGAGAGCCAGCCGCAAGGGGTGCGGTGGGGTGCTTTGCTAGGGCAAGCATAGTTGTTTTTGGTGAGAGAAACTCAAATGAGTCTTCATATTCTCACTCACTCCGAGAGGAGGGCTTCTTTTGAGCATTCTATCATGATGATTAATATCGAGAGATCAGATGAAAACAAGTTCTGTCCCAAAAAGGGCAAGTCATGCTCAGAAGCCCTGCGCAGCTGCCCAGCTAGCTCACGTGCGCTTCCTGAAGAGTACAAGAAATAAATTAAACATGTATCTGGAAGGCCCCTCTCCCCCTGCAAGTATCGGAGGATGAAATTAGTCCCTTTAGTGTATGGGCAAGCTAGCTTTGAGAACTTCTTAAGAAATGCATTTTACGTGGAATTTCTTTGTCTGCTTTTATTACTCACTCTGCTCTTTCCTTACCCTTCTCAGTGTTGCCTCTTTGATAGATGCTGCTTGCTTAAGCCTAGGGAGGATTTTTTTCAATTTTCTCCATAATACTTATACAGCATCTTACAGTGTTTTAAGAGTGCTTTACCCATGTTATCCTGGTAACCGTTATAACAATCAGATGTAGATCAGTGTTTTATTAACCAGCAGCCCAACCGGTATGTGCATGTGAAAGTGAGGGAGGGCAAGATTTGCACCGGCAGCTCCTGAGCAAATGGCTTGTTCTCTGTGCTGCCATGCTTCACCACCTATATTCTAGCTGTGGCACCTGTTCACACTCACAAAAATGGCCGAGTGTCCAGCAGCAAGTGGCTGTTTCTTCGCCTAGGCCGCCTTGTTCCACATTCTTCAAAGGAAGGGTCCAGTCTACTTCTAGCATAAACAAAATCACAGTTCTGTCTATCTTGTGCCAAAAGGGGCAGGGTTACTGGTGGAATTTTAGGGTCGGTGGAAGGGGAAAAAACAAATGCCTAGGAGCTGGGTCCGCCACCCCCACGTACTAACTCTGTTTAAGTCTCTCCCCATCCCTTTAAAATGAGGCTCATTGCCTAATTAAATAAATATTACTTGATTAATCACAAGACTGTGAGATGATTAACCAGGAGATTAAAACGGTACCTGAGTTCAAAAGCCGTTTTGAAACCAAAGGTATACTTTGGTTTTCGAAGAGGCATGTGCGTGTCATAGCAGGCTCTGTCGTAGAAACATGGTGAACCTGATGGTTCAGTTTTCTGGGGAAGCTGCGTTTAGAGCAGGAAGGCTCTGTTTTTGTGCTCACTCTTGTCCATGTGGCCCACTCCCTCTTTTAAAATGCTGCTTACCACTTGTGAACTTCAGCGGTATTTGTCAGTGTGCTAATAATATTGATATTGGGATGACTAATCGCAAGTACCTTTTCAGTCAGGTAGAAGTTAAAACAAAACATTAAAGCCCTCAGCTGGGGCACATTCCTGTGGCTGCTGAATGCTGCCTAGACAGTTGTAGGCAAATTTGGAGCCTTAGCTTCAACCTTGAAAAAGTGCTCTGAGGCTGAAGCAGGGGCTTCACATTTAGAGTGTCTTCCTTCCATCCACCCCCACGGCCGGCACGGTTCTTTCCACACCTACAGCAGCTCCACAGGTGCAGGTACATCGTCAGAGCCAGCATGGCATGCGGGGCGGGGGGGGGGTTCCAGAAGGAGTGGGGAGTGAGGCTGGACCAGGATATGACATGTTTTGCCCCAGATTGGTCATCTAAATGATTTGGAGAGCAGGACTACCATGGAGGCAGTTCTTGCCTCTGCACTCCTCCCACCTTCCATTGGATGCCCATAGCTCTCCCAGCTTGGATGACACTGCTAAAGACTTTTCAAAGTCACTACAGTTTCTATCTGTCTTGCTCTGCTTGGCCTGTGAAAGAACAGAAGTGGCTTCTAACGTTGAACCCCGTCCACTGCATGCCGAAACAAACAGAAGTTGCACAAGAATGCACTTACCCTCTTGGGCAAGCCTGTTTGTTTTAACTATGTTTGCACAAGGAAGCAGTAGCCAACTGTTGTGCTTTTTGGGATCCTCATATCAGCTTTCAGTAAAACTGCACAGCTAAAATTTAAGCAGAATTGTAAACATACCATTTAATGTCAGAATGTAAGAACCAGAGAGCTTCAGGTCTTAACCCTCCTCTCTAGCCCAGAAGCTTCTAGCGAGAAAGGTTTTAATTAATCTGGAGTCGCACGGCCTGGCAGGGTGAGGGTGGTGCCTTCTGGGCAGAATCCCAGAAAGGAAAGGGTTCTGAGGCTGTTCCTGCCTCTGCTCAGCTCCAGCTTCACTCCTGAGGGCAGTGGTACAAAGGGCAGAACAGGATTAGAAAAAAAAAATGCTGATATGATTCACACACGGTGTTTTACTGGGTTAGGAGAGGGGTCACTGCATGAAAGGTAATGCCTAAATATAAGCAAAAAATTTTTAAAATACATATTAAATGACAATTATTTAAATGTGGTTTAAAATCATAATCATTGTAATCACTGAGGATCTGGTGCCTCATAGTAATTTCCCAGAAGGTTGGAAGGTGGAAGCAGTTTCGCTTGTTTGTGGGCTTCCTGCCTCCACCTTTCCCCTTCCATCCCACCAAAGGGTTGTACAACTGTAAGGGTTGTACAGTTAAGTTTTCCAGTGAAATAGCAAATTCAGTAAGGGGCCTGCGGTATCTTTGGGTCTCAGTGGCTACAGCCCTGACATGCTTTCTTACATCTTGTGAAGTTCAGTGCCATGATCTAGCATGATGCCTGGATCATGCTGGAGGAGGAAGCGACACCTTTTCAGTGGGACATAAATTCATATTTTCAGCACCAAACTAGGATTGCAGAAGCCTGGAAGATTAAACTAGGTGCTCGTTGAGGGTTTAGGCATGCATTACTAAAACCTTAATGCCACCCTCAGTGCACTGGTTCTGAAAACTGCACCGGGAGGCAGTTAAGGTGCCCTGAACAAACCAGAGCAGTACGATACCTATTCCTAAATCTGATCGCTGCATCAGGTCACTCGCGTAATTGTTGTTGTTTTCACCTGCTTATTTTATGGAAATGCTCTTGTTAATGCTTTGTCTGGTTACTCATCAACCTGGGCATCTTGAATGACTGAGAAATCTCAGCACTGCACATGCTCTAGCCAAATTGTCCTTCCCTCCCGTGTGGGGAAGAGAGTATATTGAAGAGCTGCTGATGTGACCAATTTCCTCAGTCTTCAGACAGCTCAGAAAATAGTGATGCAAAATGAAAGTCACAAATATGATTCATTTTAAATTCCAGGTAGGTTTCCCCCCGCCTGGGACTAGTGGGGAAAGCTATGCAAATAGCCGAAGCCGTGTGAGCATTCAGGGCAGCATGTTCAGCGGTGGAGCTCTTAAAAGGAAGTGATGGGCTTGGCAGGGATTTTTTAGGCTTTTGCAATGGCAGCAGAAAGGTGGACGTGGTCCATGTGGAGATGCAGTGCAGCCCCACTTCTGCCGTGTGTGTGTGATTTTTTGAAGAGGAATGTTAATGTGGATGTTTAAGAAGCCTCTGTCTGCCCAGTCGCCCTCTTGCCTATACATGCCTCCCAAGAAAAGGAGGCTCAAAACTCTGAGCACTCTGGCCTCTACCAGCAGCTTGCTGCAGCGGAGCGTGTGAGTTCTCAGGAAAACTCAGCATGACGAGCAGGCTTGCTAAAGCACGACAGTCAGGAGTCGTCTTGGGCAATGCCATTTCCCAAAATACTCCAATGTATGCCCCCCACCTGCAGCTTTCAGTTCCCCTCTTCTGCCCCTGCAAATGGTCGGCATTCAGTGGCCATTGAACGTGTGTAGGCCTCACTGAGCTGATTCTGGGTCGCCAGTCTTGCATCCGGGCCGTTAAGGGTCCCTGGGCAAGACACCCTCGGTGGCTCTCCTCCCTCAGTCCGCCTAGTTACTCGCCACCATTGTCACTGCCTGCTCCTGTCCTTCATCCCGTGTCTCACTGCTGCTGCCACACACTTACTCAAGAGGCAGCAGGCCAGTGAGCTCGCCGGGGTGGCTTCGCACCAGCGTTGTTGTCAGGGCCAGCGCAAACGGCAGCTGAACGGGCGGGCTGCCGTGGCAGGCGAACTTCAGTGGCTTTTCTCACTGAGCCTTTGCTGGGCTGTGGACCCTCGGCACCTGTCCAGCCATCTCTCGCCCAGCTGCCCGCCCCGAGGGCCATCCTCCTCCCTCATACTATTCAAGCCCTGGCAGAATTCTCCAAACCTGCTGAGACTTCCTTTTTGTGCACCGCCGTGGCCATTTTTGCTAGGTAAGGATCAAATCAGGGAATGATCTGGCTGTCAATATGCTGATGGCTGTCAGCTACTTCCAGGTCCAGAGGCCATGTGTTGCTCGTGGTAGAAAAAGTCATTCTGAGGAGTTGTGAGTAAAAATCTATGCAAGGAAGAAGATGTTTGTAAACCCTGGAAAATTCTCTTGGAGCTGTAGTGTACCTGTCATGCCATGTCTTGCTGGTCTTCCTCCCTACCACCCCAGCGTGAGTGGAAGAAGGCAAGCCTTCAGTCATAATTCATGCAGGCATCCAATGGGCACCCTGCTTTGAGGGCAGATTATTTTTTTGCCTGGAAGGCAAGTGGCTCATGCAGTCCCACCCACTGCTGACGTGCTGGAATGTTGATTTGGAAGGAGACAAGCCGGAAGGAGCTGTTGAGGCGGACTGCCTCCTCCATGGCTTGATAACTTGGTCTCATTATCTAATTTCCTCAGTCATCCAGGGATGCTCCAGTGCAGAGTTAGAGGTCTAAATGGAACAAGTTGGAAGGAGAAAGAAGAAATGACTGGTATATGTACTTTGTGCAGTGCCGCACAACACTTTTTACATGTTCCTGAAAAGCATCCATCACCCCATCCCTGTCTTTTGAATGGGCATGCCATCATCTGAGAGCAATTTGCTACACTGACCGCCACTGATCTATCGGTGCACTCTTATTCGGAACCTACAAAATAGGACCCGCTGTACATTTTCTCTCTTTGCATCTTTGACTACCTCAGCTTGGTTTTGAGCAGTCTCGGCTTCTCTTGTCTTCTGCAGAGTGGTCTAAGGGGAAAAAAGGAGCGAAAGATAACCCAAAGCCTTGAAGGATTTCTTCTTTCATATCAGGAAGGAAACCTAAATATAGAGTAGAGTTGTTTTGAACAGTCATGCGGTTCCTGTTGGTTTCTCATGTTCCCCCAGTTTCCACCCTTGCATTCTTACAAAGATGGTATAATAAGGTTTAAAACCACACATGATGTTAATCCAGTGCAGAGATTTCCTCTGGCCCTTTTTAGTGAAAGCTGTTCCTAGGGGTTCACAGGAGGGGAACATCCTCTTTGCCAGCTTTCTACCTGCACATCAGCCCTAGGCTTTACTTAGAGGAAATGTTTTCTCTGTGGGGCAAGTCCCAGGGATTAGGAGTAGATTGCTCTTGCAGTGAATAATCAGTTTAGCATCTTGGAATATGATGATGGAAATAGGAACCATTGAAATCCTTGAATGCCCTTGTGGGAACCCTTCCTAGAAGGACTGAAGTAAAGGTCAGCCTTCCCTGAGCCCATGCTTTCCAACTGTGTTGGACGGCAGCTCCCACCACGCTTGTTAGGAACGACGGAGCTTCCAGTCCAGCTTATCTGGAGGACAGCAGGCTGGAGAAGGTTGAGATATGCAGTGGGCAGGAGGGGTGGTGGTACAACTGCAGACAAATATTTGATTTTGTGCAACACTGAATCATCACCTACACCCTCCTTTGTCAAGGGAGTTCCTGTGCAAACATGATGAGTTATGGAAGCCTAAATGCGTGGCTGCCTCACGTTCCCAAGCGGAGCAAGGGTGAGACACGCCGGGGAAGGATGTGGATGGTGGCGACGGCCTTTTAAGGAAGCCATGGAGTGGTTGCCACTGTTCAGTGATCGTCCATGTGAGGAAGCAGGCTCCCGCTGCTGTCCCACCTCCGGGTTTGCTTGACATTCTCGCATGGGCAGTTGTGTTGGTGCGATCGGCTCAGTCTTTCTCCCTGCATGCGTATGTTTGGCAGGCTGACGGCTGCCCCCATTTGAACACAGGTAGCCATTTCCAGGTTTTGAAAACAAGTAGTCCATGTTCTGATGGCACACTCTCAAAATCCGATTGCACCTACCAGTGGTTGTTTCAAGAAATGGAAGTGGCTTGCAGGCAGTGTCCCCCCACAGATCCTGGATTAAATAACCATTATTTGCCACCTGGACATAGGAAGCCAGTCAGTGCCCAACATGTGGATAGTAAGTAGTTCTATCAGGCTAGGCTAGCACAGGCCTAAACTTCTTTAGCAGGGAGACTCTTCACAGAGCCAGGCTTCCACAGAGTTGCCTTTCATCCTACACAAAATGTTTAGCTCATGCATGTAGTAATTTCTGCCCTTTGTTGAGTCGTCTTCTTCAAAAAAAATCATTATTTTTAAGCCTCCTTCCATATAGCAGTATGAAGATTCCAAAAAGTTCCTTGCATTTCTTCTTCAGCTGCATCACTGGAATCCTCTTTCTGCACTAAATAGTGCTACAGAAAGGGAGGTCATTTCCCTGGTAGATTGCATCCCTGATTTGAACAAATTATTAAAAGTTTACCCGTACTTGCATTTTAATCTTACCAGAAATGAGTTGTTTGTAAATCAAAGACTATGATGTTTAACAAGTATTTACTGTTCCTTTTTCTCCCCTCTCTCTTGTTCTCTCTTGTAGTCATGGTCTACACAAGTTTTTCTCATGTCGAGGAATTGCAATTGCTGTTGATTACTTTTGGAGAAATGGCCACAGAAAGATTACTGTGTTTGTCCCACAGTGGCGAACAAAAAGAGATTCTAATATCACAGGTAAGGAATGCCAGAGGATTGCAAGCTAATATGTTGAGTCACCTTTGCTAGCTGGAAAGGTGTGGGCCTGTAGCCAGATGGGTGACCACATGTGAAAGCAGAGCTGCAGGTTGGACCTGATGGTCTTCTAGGCCCCTTCCAACTCTTAATCTAATCTAATCTAATCTAATCTAATCTAATCTAATCATTCATTTTTCCAGTCTGCATATTTTAAAATGGCCCTGCTGGGATTGCCACTGTTTAGTAAACAAGTTCCATTTATTAAATTTATAAATAACAAGTTACTTTCCAAACAATACACCATGCTCCAAGCATGGCTAAAATTTGCATCCTGGGCACAGTTAGGGAAATGAAAGCCTGTTTCTTAACTTCTAACCCATCCCTCCACCCCATCCCCCAGTGCTGCACCTTATCTATACTATAACCTGAAGGTAGCAGAATGCCTGTATTAGGTGGGCTCTCTACATGGAGTCTATTAAAGTTCAACAGGTAATAGAATGAATTTCCCCAGTGTGCAAAAGCCAGGGTGCTTTTTCGAAGCCACTTAGAAGCCTTATGGCCTTCAGCAGAGAAAATTGCCTTGAAGCTGTTTTCCCCAAGTATATTCCTTAGGTAAGAGTTGCTTTTGCCGTGAGAACCAAAACGGTTTGCTTTACGGAAACAGCTCCATCCTTCCCATCTCCCAGGAAGGAGGGTTACCACTTCAGTGTAGTGTGACAGCCTCTGAAACAGGAGAGGAGAACTTCATAAAATCCAGAGGAAGAGGTGCTGTCTTTTGTTCTTCGCTTGGGAGGGAGTTGACACAGCACTCAGGCACCTTTGGAGGCCCATGAAGCACCCCGGCTTATTCTGGGAACAAGCACAGCCACAGAGAAAGGGCATGTAAGCCTTCTTTCCCTTGTTGATACTCTGCGTTTGTATTTCATAGTTGTATCCAGTAAACTGTATATCATCTTTGACACAAATGGTTTTGTTTCATTCAGAATATCCACAACTCTGAACTGAGGTGCTTTGACTGGACCAAACCCCTAGGATTAACACACCACTATATGGGAAGCATTTTGAACATTTAGAGGAATTTAATTTATTAAACTATGAATTTAATCATATTAATCTGTTTGCTACTCTTCCACAAAAATAAAACTGAGCACAAAAATGAATTCTTTTTTCTTAAACCTGTCTCTGACTTTTTATGTTTCTTTTACATAGAACAACACTTCCTAACCCAGCTCCAAGATGTTGGCATTTTGGCCCTCACTCCTGCTAGAGTAGTATGTGGAGCCAGGATTGCATCTCATGATGACAGGTGAGAGAAGCTTTGCTTCAGACTGGCATTCTTACATCTCATTCTTCTAGGAAGGAATTGTTTATTGAGAGGGGAAACTGGATATTTTACTTTGTAAACCACTTATCTTGTTAAATTTGTACTCTGTGTTGGAAGATGCCATTAAAATCTCATGCCTTTCAGAGATGTATTCCACCTAAGCTTCACGCATGCAAGTCTTTTATGTAGTAAATAGTACCAAAACTCCCAGATTTGGAAAAAAAAGAACCTCTAAAGATGCACCTCTACATGCATTTAAATCCTGAGCCAAAATATTGGGAATATTTGGGCAAATAGCACTCTGATAGCACAACAAAGAAAGAGATCACTGTCCTTCTGACTGTGCTAAGGGGCATCATAAGTATTCTCAATAGCTGCCACAGATATTAAGCTGGCCTGATCAACAGAAGAATCAACAATTACTGCTTCCTGTGCATAATAATACTCTGTTAAAAAAGGCTCAGCAAGCCACGCTTTAGTCTCCCCCTAATATTTGTAGTATTTGCTTAAACCAGAAGGAACTGATAGCCAAGGAAGTTTATTTCCACTGCAGACCAGGTCCCCTGAAGGAAGATGATATTAAATTGATTTAGAAAACTGGAAACCTCCTTATCCTGCATCAGTCCATGAAAGGAGGCACAATGAAGATTTACTGCCTAATCCTGTTCCTCTGAAAAATTTATAGCTGGGTCAAAAGCAGCTACATTGGAGCAGGTTGCTTGAGCAGAATCCAAACGAAGCATCCCAGGACTAGGCAGAGACTGAGGAGGGGTGTACTTCTGTTTTCCCTGTGCTCAGCTTTCCTGTGTGTTTGGCTTCGATTCATACATTTGGTTTCTTTATTTATTTGGACAACTTGTATGCTGCCCCATTCGCATAAACCTCGGAAGTACAGCCTTTATTGGAAGCACAGCCTCCTACACCCGCCCCTTCTATATGGCACCTCTAATGCTTCAAAGTCCAGACCCGTTAAAGAACGAAGAGAAAGATCAGTTAAGGGGCATTCAGATACCTTGTCCCATTTAAGGGGAAAGGATTATTAAATGCTTTCTGCAAAGAAACTTTGTTCTGTGCGAATTTCTCCTTCTCTAGACTGAGGAAGGGGCTCTACTGGAATAAAAGGGGAGCATGATTCCAGTTGCTTGGTATCAGTTGGTTAGAAGCAAAAAGGAGTTTAGATCAGCTCTGTCTGCAGGGTGCCTGAGCAAGCAAAACAGAGGGTTTGAAATGAGCCATCTACTATTCCATCTTGGCAGTCTTCCATTTTTGGGAAACAGACGACACTATTTGATTGTTCATCGAGGAGTGGGACAGATTTTGTTGGAGTAAGGACTCATTTCTCTTCCTTCCTACCTCCTTCCCATTTGATTTCAGCAACTGTGAAGGCGCAAGAGCTTGATAATGCATTCAACATTGTGTAAAGATTTTAAATCAGCTGATTTGCCACCAACCAAATCTAATTTCTCATATATTTTCTTCAGGGGTTGAGTAACCAAAAGCATCTATTTAACTAATATTTGGGAATAAGGAGGAGTACCAACATCATGTGAAATTTGAGGGGATTTTTCCTCCCATTTCAACAGGAGGTTCAGCGCTACCTCGAGCCTCATGAGGCAGCAGAAAAGGAGGGGCAGGATTATCATTCTCCAAACTTTCAAAACCATTTTTTGTAATTATGGAGGCAGCAGGAGCAAAAGGGGAACCATTTCATCCAATCCCCTTTGCTTGTGCTGGACCAGCCCAGGAGGAGAACTCTCTTATGCCCCGTGACTCCCAGTCTTTCTGCAATAAATAAGTAACAGGTAAAATAGTAAAATAAAAAATAAAGGCAGTAAAAACCCTAAATAATAGAATTTAAAATGGAACTAAAAGCTAGTATATTTATAGCGAGTGAGAGCTAATATATAAAATGTTTACTAAGAATTGGGTCTGTTATGCCATGCAAACGCTGACATTTATAGATAGGCAAGCTGCCCAGTGACTCTGCAGTTATTCCTAAACACAGTTTGAAAGATTACAGGCCCTGACAAATCAGAGGCTCAAACAAACAGTCATAAGCTAAACAGTCTCCTCTCACTAGATCAGAAATGCTTCCCACTCCCTCACATAGATAATGGATGAGGACTTAGAGGTAAATAACATTAGGAAACACTGAAGAATGAAAACAGATGAGAGAAAAAGAAAGATATGATGAAATAACAAGCCAAATGTGATTAAATAAATAAAACAAAACAATGCAACAAGAAAATAAAATTCTAGAAACAAGGACAGCCTTGGTGCATCTTATCACCTCTGAGCCAGAACGATTTTTCAAGGTTTGGGATTTGCTTACTGGATCAAACTTTTTTCCCTCCTGTTTTTGCCCATGATGTCCTGATGAATTCTGATGGTTCTTGTTTGATCTGGCTAGTCACTAAACTAGGTCTGATCATTGTAAATGGAAATTCTAAATACTGTATAATAACACAGCTGACTTTGCCTCTCTGCCAGAGTGTGGCTTGATTTTTTTTTTTGGTTAATCCTCATTTCTGATTGCATTAAATCATTTGCGTAGGGAAACCCTTATGATGGTCATCGTCTGCCTCTATGTATGGAATTGGATTTGGGAATAAAAGCTTGTTGTATTATGAATGAGATGAGCAGAGGCTTACCGGCGTTAAGGCCAGGAAATGGTCCCTAAAATTGCCAGAATGACTTGAGGTGGCATTGAACTCGCTGATGTTGATGGATATAAGGGACAGCATTCTTTCTGAACCTCTACATAGTGCTTTAAATTTTTTTTCCAGCAACTAGGATTATTGGGATCATTTTTTAATGGTCTCTTGCTGCACGAGATCAGCCGTAAAGAGGAACAGCTGTGAGCCACCCTGAGGCTTTGGCGAATGGGGTGGCATAGAAATGTTTTAATAAATAAACAGCAGACCTCCCTGGTACGACAGATTTGCAAAGTTTTGAAGAGGAGGAAATCTTAGCCGTTACCTAGTTTCCATAGAAGCTTTTGTGCTGAGCATCTCCTCTCAGCTCTGCAACACGCTGTCTTTCCATCAGGTTCTCTTCATTGTGGGTCATGGAGACCTTGGGCCACACATATGGTAGAACAATCTGAGAGAAAGGGTCGTGCTGCTTCAAACAGCAAGTGGTGGATCATGTTGTTTTAAAAACAGCACATCTCCAAGCCATCTGGGCAGAAGCATTCTCCCTCATGTACATGGAGTTCCTCCCCTGCGCATCCCAGCACTGGAAAACATCGATCCATTGCATTTCCTACCTGCAGTTTGGCACGGAGTATGAAAGGGGCATTATTCCAGTCCAGACAATTTGTCTGTCTCTCCAGCACTGTCCACTGCTGTGATGGGTAGCGGCCGTCCACGCAGTATCCCATATCACCTGTGACCTGATTTTATGCATCGTCCTGCTTCACACACAGGCCAGGTGAAAGCTTGTGGGCAAGCATGTGATGGCGTTGTTCTTCTGATACAGCCCAGTGGCAAGGAAACGTGGTGGGACGCAGACTTGTGGACTCTGTCGTCTTACCCTGTGTGTTCCTAGACATGCACTGGATCCGAAGCAGGGCAAAGTTACATATGGCAGTCATCTCAAGTGGTGCAGAAGGGTGCCCCCCCCTTCCTCCTCCTCCTGTCCATCTTGCTGGACAAAAATGCTGCTTTTGCAATATGTAAAAACCCCTCCCGAGAACATCCACTGTCACCTTGCCAAATCTGAAAATCAGCCGTGGTTTGCAAGTGACCACCTGAATACCCTGAGCGGCAAACGCAGGGCCAGGGTGCAGAGAGCTCCTTTGGCACGCGTGGCTGGCTGGGTGGCTCTTCTGGATGTTGGCCCGGCCTGCTGCTTGAGCCCGGGCCCAGCCGGTGCAGCGTACGGCCCCTTGCAGCACACCGCAGCTAACGAGTGACCTCTTGGTGCGTTGCTCAGTGGCAACGCCAGCATCAAACCACGGCTGGGCACCTACCAGGGGCTCACACTCCAACACAGGTCCCCTGATAGCAGCCCCCTCGTCTTGCTGCTCCTCTCCCCTCGTGGTAGCAGTGATGGGAAATAAGATGAGGAGGAGCAGAAGCAGCTGGCGACCGCTGGTGAGAAGGTCGGCTCGCTGAGGAGGGTGCTCACGGGAGGCCCAGGCACCCAGAGACGTGTGGCGATTTGGCTGGCATGATATGCAGAAGCTGCCCCTTGGGAAGGACTTGGTTGGAATGCATTTGTGGAAGGAAGGCTGATTTTCTTAACAAATGTTCCTGTAGGTTTTTGCTGCACCTCGCCGAGAAAACTGGAGGAGTTATCGTTACGAATGATAACCTCAGAGAATTTGTGGATGAATCCTCTTCTTGGCGAGAGATCATTCAGAAGAGGTAATTGCAGTTTGTGGTTTTACAGCATATGTGAAGGGAAAGTGAGCGTGCAATTGTTAAATTATTAGTGAGTGTGATTTTTTTTGAGGGGGAATGGACTGGATTCGATTAAAAGTAGATCCTCGGGGACCTCTGTCAAAGCATCCGTTGCATAATTGCACGGAACTCTTGAAAGCTGCATGCACGGCGTTTCCCTCCCCATCATGTGGACTCTTGTTTTTCATAAATTGCAGTTGTGGGTCCTGCAGTGTGCAGCAGAAGACCCATAAGTGCAGAGGAGAAAAAAAACATGTTAAAAAATGTCTTTTCCTCCCTTGCCTTGCAAACTGTTTTATCCAGTGTGGGAGGAAAGATGCAGGGGTCCTGTACTGAGTCAGACCAACCACCTGCTACCTGATCCTTTAACTGACCATTCCTGGCAAAGTGCTGGAATGCTGAGCCCAGGCAAAGACTGTGGCCCAGGCCAGGTGTTTTAATCCCACTTCAGTCAGCCTCTTTATGGAGCCCAGTTCGGAGAGCGCTATTGCAGCGTGTCGGTCCAAGCACAACTGCCGGTTCCTGAACACTGTAAGTTCGCTGTCCTCACTCCGGTGCCTTCCAGTATGCTGAATTTCAGCTCCCATCAGCCCCAGCAGAGATGCCCACTCATTGGGAATGCTGGGGTTGGTAGTCCAAAACGTCTGGAAGGGAACAGGTTAGGGAAAGCTAGTCTGAACCACTTGCTTTTTAAAAAAAAAAAATTTAAAGAGTCACGGTCCTCAAAATCACACATGCCAGTGCCACTTTCCCGTCCATGTGCAGGGAGCTGTGTGGCTAATCGGGCGGGCTAAAAATCTAAATCTAATAATAAATAAATATTGGTGGTTGCCATAGGCTCAGAGACCGGCAGCTAGTAGGTCACAACTACAGTACTAATTATCCCTTCGCTGACCTGCATACTGCGCACTTGCTTTGCTAAGGAACCTCCCTCATCGTCGTTGGGCTTGCCCTGGGACAGGGAAGGAGGACAGGCTGAGGGCAGGCACTTCGCGAAGCCCCCATGCTGGCAGAGGAGCTCCTGCTGCTGCCTTTCGGCCTTTGCAGAGCGTGCGGGAAGCACCATCGGCCTGCGGGCCTGTGTTCCTCCAGGTCAAGTGGGAGGATTTCGATGGTGCGGGCCACTTCTCATCAGTGGAACACTTAGTTGCTCTGTGCAGGCGCACTGCCAAGCCAGCTGATTTGTGCATGCCTGCGCATCCTTTCTTTCCTGTTCACCTCTTAACTCTTGCTTGAACTCACCTTTGTGACCAGAACCAGAAGATGAAATAGTGGTTTATTTAGAGAGACTTCTCCAAGTTTTCATGATGCCTTATTTCTTGTGAATGTGGTAGTTTAGCACAGAGAACAGAAAGCCTCTCTTGTTTCCAGGTGTGTATTAAGTTTTGGATAGAAAGGGGGCCGTTGAATTTCCAAGCCACTCTTTGCTGCAGTTGTCATTCCCAGGGAACGACACAAGTTGCAGGCAGGCCGCAGCTGACCCGTAAATTCTTGCACAGAGTCCCAAGTTGAGCCCAGGGAAATTTGTCCGTCACCAGTGCACTGGCTCTCAGAAGTGGGGTCCTGTTGACTTTCAAGTTCTGAAGAAGCCTCCCTAACTTGAAGTTACTGTTTGGGCTTCTGAGAACAACCCATCCCCATTGTTGAAGGGCAATATCGAATTCCGGTAGATGTGGAAGAGGTGGCTAAGCAAGTATCCCAGTGCCAGACTTGAAGTGTGACTCGGACCTCAGCTAGGACTGAAGCTCCCATGGATTGTGTAAGGCTAGATTGCATTCATGGGGTTTGAACCGCCTCCATGTGCCACATAGCGCAGTGATCGCATCTCACGTGCAGAAAGCCTCTGGTTCAGTTGTTGACATTTCCATTAAAAGGATCCTCCTCAAGTAGCAGGGAAAGACCTCTACCCAAGCCATCGTGTAGACCACTACCAGTTGGCACAGGCATGCTGGTTTACCTGGAGCAAAGGTTTGACTGGGTAAAACACAGCTCCATACATTTGTGGTACCTTTCCAGGGGGGCACTCCAAAATCCTGGAGCTGTTCCTGAGAGCAGAAGCAGGCAGAAGGAATGCCCAATCGACGGATGGTAAACAATGAGTTCACAACTCTGTGCAAGTCCGAGAGTTGCATTCCTTACATTTTCTTGTGGTCCCTGTTGCAGGCTGCTCCCGTACACGTTTGCTGGAGACATCTTCATGGTTCCTGATGATCCTATGGGACGGAATGGCCCAGGACTAGAACGCTTTCTTCAGGAAGAAACCAGTTTTAGGTATAGTGCTCAGTAGTCCCCGAAACCAGTAGGGAAATGAATGCCCCACTTGAAGCACAGAAGCTCTTAGAAAGGATGGAAAGCTAATGAGCCATAGAACACACCATCATCACCACCACCCTGCTGACTGACTTAGCTCCACTTTATCCTCCGAACAAGCCCCCTGTGTGATAGGTCAGGCTGGGTGTGGGTGACTGGCCACTTTTGTGGCTGAGTGGGAAGAGCTCCAAGCGGATTTGTTTGCCTCCCCTTGGCACAGCTGGCTCTGTGTGGCAATGTGGCGAGCATGTGTCATGGGTAGTGGTGCCAAAATGAGCAAGATGGGCATCGTGGTGACACTCTTTGAGGCTAGGCTGTGGCGACGTGCACATCAGTGGGCCGGCTCACGTGGCATCATGGGACACAGAATGGTTAGAGCTGGGATGCAGTGTCACGAACAGCTGGCCTCTTGGTAAGCCAGACGATGGAAGCGCCATGGAAAAAGCACCATTAACTTGTTTGCTGTGTCCTGGAGAGACACTGCACCAGCTCCTTTATCTTTTCCCATTCCTGGAACCAAGATAGAACTTAACAAAATAATATGTACATAAATAAAAGCAAGGTCTGACATTTGTGCCAATCTTTTCAAGACATTTCAGAGGAAGAAACGTCCATCATTGGTTAGATGACTCAATTGGTCTATGAAACATTGCAAGATAGTTAAATAATGGTTAAATATGTTCTCCAAGTGATAACATGGCTGAGTGATAACACATTTGTTTTGAATAACTGAACATTTGGAAAGAAGCAACTTGAAATGTCATCTTGCCAATGATTTCTGCTAAAAACAACAGCATCGGCATCTGGGAAACAAAATGAATCACTGCATCAAACAATCTTTTAAAAGAAGAATAAATTCCACTTGGTTTTCAAGATGACTTGGAACACTAAATTGACAACAAACAATAATACTTAGCATTTCTGTTGTTTTAGAGGGTTCAGCAGTTCTTTCCATCTGTTTTCAAAATTTTAAATACACAAATACTCTCCTGTTTCCCACATGGAGGAGAGAGAGAATGGGGATTTATGTTGGAATGAAGATATGAAGAGAGGCAGGATAGATTTGAAAGAAATAACTTAGCTGCCAAGACTTGGGTGCAAGTTTAGTGGAGAACAGAGTTGTGTTGTGATACAGTGGTTTGAGTAAACTGTTACAATTTTGTTAGTGGCTTACATCAAATAGTAATGAAATACCGAGGTGCTAAATTGGAAACAGCATTCATGAAACTGAAGTTAAAATACACGTGGTATTAAAAAACCTAAATGCTGTGTATGAAGGCTGAGTACACACTCTGCCCATGATTTCAAAGCCTGTAGAAATGCGGGAGGCTGTAGTTTTCTTACTTGCATCGTGAACCATTTGAAGGCACTCACACTGGTTTGTTTTTTGTCCTCCAGAGGCGGTTGGACCCAATATGGCCTCGAAAGTAGAGGCCTTCCTCCTTTTGGGACCTCGCATTTCCTGATGCAACCTGAGCATAGCGGACAGCCGCCAAAGAGCCCGCTGCCCGGTCTTGTGCCTGCCTTACCCGTCTTTCCACCAGCACCACTGGCTAACTCGGTCCTTCCCCCACATCCAAGGTCTGCTGCGGAAACAAACCGTTTAAAGGAAGCCTTGAGAAAAATATTCCCTACCTCTGAGCAGAGAGAGAAGATTGAGGAGATCCTTGCCCAGCACCCCCACATGAGAGACCTGAATGCTCTTTCTGCTCTGGTGCTTGACTTGGGCTGAAGAACTGACCCAAAACCCTTTGGGTTTTGCGGTCGGGATTGTTAGTGCAAAGACGCAAATGAGCTGAAGTCAAGCCATCTGTGAATAGTCAAAACTTAATCCTTTTGTATAAAACAAGAATTGTGAATATTTCAGAGATGTAGAGACACCCTTTTTTATTCATTTAAGTTATGTTGCTTTTAGCAATTTGTATTGATGATTCTTCTGAAAGAAAAGAAGTCTTTATTTCTGACTGGCTTGAGATGGTTTATGAAAGATGTCACAGTACCTTGAGGAAGTACAAGAGCAGGTCTGGGTTCCACAAAAGGGGACTCCATTGTGTGAACATGACTCGGTTTTATTTCTGAGCTTGTGTTGTCATTGTTGGGTAAAATTGCCTGATGTAACAGCACGGGGTGATTTGTCAGTGAGTCAATGATGACACTTCCATACATCTTGGTTACGCAAGTGGGGTTAGTGCATAAGTAAGTCTCCATCTTAAGGCTTACAATCTGCCTTACTATTGTCTGGAAGCCTGCGCTTGCTATTGGCTGAAATTCTCTGGTGACAAAATACCCAAGCGGAGATCAGTGGGTTTGGTAACAGTGATAGTGTGGGCAAGTTAAGATACTGCTGTGGTGAACTTGACGGGGGAAATCTGAGATAGATTAGGAGTAGAGTTCCAGAGAAGTAGCTCTGATAGTCACAGAAAACACCTTCCCCCCCCACAACACACACACACACTGGGGCACCTGTAAAGCAGAAGGTAAATCTCCACATGTTAATTCCCAACATCCAGAAGCTCCTGGCAACTTGGCCAATGGTCCAAGCGATCCAGAGGTGTACTTGCTGCTGACACCTGCTTCAAGGGATAAAATATTTACTTTTGTTGTTGTGGCATGAAAGCTTAAATTATAACCCGTTAGTATTTAAGGTACTACAAGGCACTGTGCGTAGGGGGGGAAAGAAGCATGTTTGTGGTTTGGAGTGGGTAGAGAACTGTGAAAAGACTTGGAGCCAGTTCCTGTGAGTCTTAATTTTATGTGGACCCAAAAAGCTTGCCTAACTCTGAAAGGAAATCCCTGCAAATTGACCTGCAGCCTCACAGATCCTTTACGTGAGCCTAGATTTTGCCTTCCCTGAAAGAAGTGGTTGCTCTGGGGTTGGTATTCTACCCCAAAATTGCATGGGACCAGAGTAATCTCTAGAGGACTGGGCCGTGTTCAAGTGAGCACTAGCAGTCATGTCAATTACAATGCTCTTCGATACAGCTTGGGTCCCCCACCAATATTTTGCCCTAGAACTACAGCCAGCCCCTGCCCGAAGAGCCAGCAGCAAAGGATCATGGGAGTTGTGGACTAAAACCTTTGGAAGGCCACAAATTGTCCAGCCCCATTCTCTGGTAAGATGTCTGGCATGGTAGGCTTTCTGGGGAAAACTGACATGCCAGCTAAGCCTTGTTGTGGCACAAGAGGTCACTTCTCCTTGTGTAACAAATTTTACATGATCGCTTCTGCTGAATTGGAGACTGCTTGTTTAATCCCAACTGTTTGGATCTGTTGAAAAAGGCGTGCGGCCCAATGGCGTATTCCGCTCCGTGCTGAGCAGTGGTTCCTTTAGGAGGCTCTGAGAGGTGGATGTGACCAGAAGGAGTGGTCCCCCTTCCTGCTTGCGGCCCATTGTCTTGCAGGCCCTGGAACCACAAGGCACCAGTTGAACATGGATTATGTACTCCGTATTTCACACATGTGCTTTTGCTTACTGAGAATGCATATCTCAGCAGGAGCAGGGATCAGAAAGAAGTCACATGTACAACTAGAAATTAGAAGGGACCCGAACTGAAATAGGCTTCCCATTTTTAAAAGAGGCACCTGCAGCTTGCTCAGGAATCAGCCATCGAAGTAAATCTCAGTGTTTGCGGGAAGGCAGGTACTGGCAGTTGCACACCTGCTGCCCCAGAAGAAACGCTCAACAGCAGAACGTATGGTTTGCATATGAAAGATCATGGGTTCAACCCCTGGCATCTCTCGATAGGTCTGGAAATCACCCTCATGTGAAACCCCGGGGAATTGCGACCAGTTGCCACTGCTGACTGCAAAACAAGATGGACCACTTCACAAAGAACAGTCAGTCTGCTAGCTCTTGGCTTTCATGGAAAAGCCGAGTTGTTAAATGGTGCTTGTTGAAGGAGAAGGGCAGAGAAGAGAGAATTTACCCTTTTCCAGGGCAGCAGTTCCTTGCCCACTCCATTCCTTCTAGAGACCCAACAGATATGCTGCTCACTGCAGTACAAGCCTCTAAAAGTTGTTTTGGCTCTTCAGGAATTCCCCTCTGCTTAGAGACAGAGAAACCACTCTGCTTAACCACAGCCATAACTACCAGCTGCTTCTGTTTGCTTAGTTATCCTCCACTGAATAGAAAGAATTTGGAAAAGCACCACCTGTATTGGATTGTACAAGTGCCTGTCAGAATTTGCTGACATTTGTGCACAAAAGCTGCATGTATGGAGGAGATTCTTGGCGTGTGCAAAAGCTGTTGAGTCAGTTAATACAGAAGCTCTAGGTAATGGTGAAATACTGCAGCCAATCCTTAATGGTCCATGAAATAAAGTCATTAAGGGGCAAGCTGACAAAAGAGGCTGTTCCCAGAAGAGGTGATTGGCCTTAGTTGTTTATGGCAACTGCCATGGCCCATTGATATTTTAAATACACAAAGCAAGGGTGTACACGTGGAAGATCGTCAGGCATCACCCATCCGTGTTAGGTGATCCCGAGTGTGTGCTCTTGCTTAGCTTTGCCGGATCAGATTAAGATTCATCCATTCTTTGCAGTTAATCCAAGCAAGTGCTAGACAGCAAGTGCTTTCAGCTCAAGGGTCAAATTAAACTTCAGAGAAGCTCTTGGGAACGTTCCAGCAATGGGTAGGGCTGAAGGCAGAAGTGGTGGAGCAAAAATGTCGATCTTGCCAAGATACTTAAAGTCAACAACCAAGACTTAGGAGAGGTATTTCAACTTATCAGAAGGGGAGAAAGCTGGAAAAACAGCCAATGGCCAGGGGAAGGGCGGCGGGGTTCTCGGGGGAGACCTGGAGGGCACCCCTGAGCTCTCATCCATCGGAAGTTTGGCTGTGTGCCGGGCCATCTTGCCCACTCTGGTCTGCAGTAAATGCAACTAGCAAAATGGCCCTTTGCAACTTTGACTGGGGAATCTGTGATGTCTTCAAATACAAGCAGCTCAAAGAAGTTTTTTTGGACTTCTCAGTAGACTTGATGGTTTTCTTAAATTGCATGCAGAACCAGCCCAAGCCTCGATCGCAAGGAAGGGGCTCCTACACAGTGTCCTGTGGCGGCTGTCGGGAAGAGGGCCATATTTGTGACAACTCTGCACACTTGTCCAATCCATGCTGGCTTTGCCTCTAGTGCCGCTTGCCAGACAATGCTGCGTAATGCGGGCAGGCCTGAGGACGCATAGAAAGAGAATGGAAAAGATGAAACAAGCATGAATGTGTCCAGCATTGGGCTTTTGCACAAATCCAAAACAAATGCACAGATCTGATGGATGCATTGCTCCAACTTGCAGCTGAACATGTCAACAGTCTTTGCAGCAAAAGCGTTGAAGTGATACAAATTTGTCTCTGGGGTGAGGCCATTTCACACATGAAAACTATCACTTTCAGTTTCAGCCATTGTGTGATGGAAAAACCAGGTGTGAACTGTCCCCCTTACAGAGCATGTCCCCAGGTTGCACAGACTCTTGCAAGTTTCCGCATCTTCAAATGTTAGTTTGCCCAGGAATGACCCAACACTTTGTGATGCTACTTACAAGGGAAAAGCATGAAGATGTTTAATCCAGCCGGAGGAAATATGCCTATCCCCTTACGGGCATTTAATTATTTCAGACCCAGCTGCCTTAAGTGTGGAGTAAAAGTTAAGACTACATGTCAAAGCTTTTGTATCAACTTGGAAGACCATTAATGTTTAACTACATAATAAACTAGGAGTATTTAAAAGCTTGCTAAAATCTGTACACTGGAAAGCATTAAACAGGTGGATTAAAATGCAAAGCTGTTGCCAAATGCTTGTCAGGTTTAGTGTACTTTTGGCTCCCAGTCCTACAGCATAGACAACTGGTTGAGTGTAGGAACTATCTCAGGAATAAGAGGGTCTCTTAATTCTAGCCGCGTGTGCCATGCAGTGATGTACATGCACCTGTTTTCACCACCAAATAACAGCTGAGATGGGGTCAGAACATCAGTTGCTTCTAATTCCCACCACTGGGAAGCAGATTTGGACTTGTCCTTTCTCTTTCTGCCCATGATTTTTTTCTCAAAGACCACAATAATCGGTGCAACTTTTCCAGTACATCATCAGCTCTTTCATCTGGTCACTGAAAATGCCAAAATATCGAAGAGATCAGTAGGAAAAACAATCTCATAAGCATTTTGAAGGAGATGGCTATGATATTGGAAGAAGAGGAGTTGGGGAAAGGCATGCTGGGAATGTTTCTGGGTTTGTGATATCTGTAAGGGAAGGAAGTGCTTGAAAGGTTGTCCTAGTAACACGCAACATTTCATCAGTTCAGCTGGGTGTGAAGCTCACTTCCCTTTTGAACTTCTTTCTGGATAGATGAATTTTTCATTGCGGTATTTGTGCTTTGTTAATGGACTCTCAGCTGGACATCTGGCCTGGGATTTGCGCATAAGAGCAGCATTCTTTTTATGAATCTTGAACACTCTGACTTTATTGGTTTGTGGATCAAACTGCTGGGGGGACCGGTGGGCAGACAGCGGATGATGACACTGCTTTAACCTAGGGTTTTATTTATTTATTTATTTATTTATTTATTTATTTATTTATTTATTTATTTGGGAAATTTATAGGCCATCCATCACTGTTGTCTCTGGACGGCTTACAGAATTTAATAAATCCTAAACAAAATGAAGTCGCTATACCACGGATTTGCACTCCATCGGGCTCCTGGATCCGTAAAACATCTTGGCGGGGTGTTCTTAGCCGTAGGATTGGCATGGCCTGCCCGTCACATCACATGTATTCTCTCATGCCTTCCATCTGAAGCACAATTTCTTCCAGGAAGATTTTTAGCAGGTAATCCTGTTACAGAACATGGTGGAGAACACTATGAAGAAAATGACATCTGTGCACTGCAAAGGAGCAGCGCAGCGAAACGCTCTGCCTGCCACTGCATCCTCAGAGCCATAATGGAACAAACAGTGCAAAGCGAAAGACACAGGTCA